GTGTTTTCAAACTTAGGCCAGGTCGGAGTCGCGAAGGCCAAACATAAATTGTCAGAGGTATGAGAAAAGTCAAATCTTCCCCCGAGAACTTTGGATCAACAGGTTCCAACTCCTTCGCGGTCCAAGGAAGTGCTCGCAACTGCCTAGCACAATTACTTGCGAGCAATTGGAAGCCCGAGAAGTTGGCTTAGTGCCTGGGGTACCCCGGGGTCACCTTGACCCTGCCCCACCCCGTCCCCCTCCTTAGCCCCTCCATCCTCTGTCTGAGACGTCTTAAGGTGGCATTTGGGGAAAAGGGCACGACTAGACCAGTGGCAAAGCGCCACCGAAAGGTGAACTCCGGGAGTTTGCAGGGCTCGAATCTTCTTGCCCCAGGGCTGCCCCTGCCTTCTCGAAGCGCGCGGGAGAGGGGGCGGGGGGGGGGGGCTCGAGATAATGAACCCTATCCTGGGCCTCCTAGGCGTCGGTCCAGTGACAGCAGAGAGCTTCTGGGGTGCGAAAGGGACCGCAGTGGCAAATACAAATCAAGATCAGACTGCTTCTCTTAGGGCTGCAGAACTGCTAAGGGTGCGCAGGGCGATTTTCATCGCGTTTTCCCGAGCCCGGCTTCTGCGCGTGGGCCGCAGAGACTGCTTTTGCTTGCGGGGGTGGGAGTTCTCCCGGGAAGGTCCGGGTGTGTCCGGCAGGGGGGTCCCTGCCACCCGGGACACATTGGTCTTTCCAGGCTGAGTACCTCAGCTTCCCGGAAAGCGCAGCAGGGGACAGAAGGTACCACTAGCTCTGGGTGAATTTCGCATTTCCCAAGCGAAAGTTCGTGTCAGAGTTGCCAGATTTTGCTTTTCCCTATTAGAACGTTCTCGCATAGATGAAACACGCACACAAGGACAATTTTCCCTTTCAGAACACACACACACACACACACACACACACACACACACACACACACACACTCAACTCCCGGTTCCTGAGCTGTTGTGAGAACATACTGAAATCTAGAGAAACAACAACCTATGTGTATTCGGGCTTTAGAAATAAGAAAAAAAGAAAACTACTGGCCTTGGTCCTAGAAAGTTCAATAGGGTGTGTTCCGTTCTTATTTTTATTAAGTTCCCTTTTCAAATTTCAAAAAAATATGAATAAAGATGAGCCCTTAGAAATTTAAGCATGACCTTTAAAAAAAATTAGCTTGGCCTGAAGCGCGATGTTATAATTTCAGTGCGGTGCCGCTTGCTGAATATTTTCGAATCGTTTCAAATCTGTGGGTCCTTCTCTCCTGCGGCAACAAAACTATATTCATCTTTGCACAACAGGCTTCAGAGGTGTGTGAATTTGGTACTCAGCACGCACCGGAGAGTACCTTTCTAAGTGCGTCCCGCCTGGTGGGTGTTTCCTGCACCACGCCCACCCGGCCCGCCCCCCGGCCCAGCAACCTCAGCTGCCCCCACCACTGGCGGGCACAGGAGTCTCCTGAGTTTCCTGTCGCCTAAGAGCATCCGTAACTCAGTGGCCTCTGAACCTGCGCACAGTCAAGGATTACACTGGCAACGCTTCATTTCCAGGGGTCATCTGCGGGTCAGTTTCCTCCACTAGGCAAATTCCCCACTTCTTCTTCCCCAATTCCACATCATTTAAAGGTGTTTATTTGGGTTTATCCTCTGCTACCTTTCCGACTTACTAGTATGTGGCAGAAGCCCCGGCCCTCTGCTCGCTTCGTGGCGGAAAAACAAACAAAAAAAACCCCAAAGCAAAAATTCAAGCTCACAATTTTTCGGGCTTCTACGGGCCAGACTGGGTCTTAAGAGAGCGGCGGGTGTCAACCCTGTTTGTGGCCCCCAAACCGGACGGCGGGCAAGAGGGAGGGAGCTTAGGCCACGTTTTTGGGCTGGCGACTATTAAACCAGGTAACGAGACACCAGGCAGATGTGTTTTCATTGCCCTGTAAGATAAATGCAGTGTTAAGTGCCTGACAACTTCCCAGAAGCAATCAGCAAAAGTTTATGAGTGCATAAACCTCAAAGACCATTCCCCGACGGTTGTTATAAGGCCCGCATTTAGAGCTTCTATAAATTTCTCAGAGCTAAGTTGCCCGTGACTTTTAGGCAACCACCCCCTTTGGGGAGACCCGGGGGATTTTCTAGAACCTGCAAAGAGTTTTAAAACTGAGTGAGAAAGTTTGTTCCAGAAGTGGATGGCCAGCCGGGGAGAAAGGCGGAGTGTAGGGTATTTGGGCTGGGGTGGGGGGACCCGCGAAATTCGTGGAAGGAGGGTGTTAAAGGGGGCGGGGCGCGAGAACGGACCACCGGGTATTCTCTGATGATGATTTCTCTGATAAAACGAAGGCTTGAAGGGTCGTGATCTCGTGAGAGTCCTGAGTGTTGCCAGGCAGCGGCGACTTTGCAGCTTTGGGTGCTCTACTGGGACATTCCAACCCTGTTACCCAGAGCCCTGCGCCCCTAAATTCAAGCATCCCGCCCCCATACCCTCAGCTCTTTCTCCTTTCTAGTACCCCACCTTCCCACCCCCATGAGCGAAAGGTAGAAGTCCCGGCATCCTGAGGCAAGTGCCAGATCACTAAAGAGGCAGGTTGGTTTGGAGGACGGACTTCGGGGTGACTTAGCCACACCGCCTAGAGCCAGGAAGGAGGCCGCCTGGATGCTCGGGTTAAGGGCCAGAGGACTTCGAGAAGTTCCTAGCAGGCCCACACAGCTTACCTGTGTTTATAAAGAACCTTTGTTTATGATCTCAGTGCAAACAAAGCTGCTAATTGAAAAACAATAACAGGAGCATGTCTTTAGCTTCCTGAAGGGAGAGGTTAACAGCTGCGAGCGCCCGGGGAGGGAGGAGGGAGGAAAGCGGCGAGCGAGGGGCCGCCCAGCACGCAGACGTGCTCCGGGGTCCCCAACGAGACACGTGGGCAGGCTTAAGCCTCCCGGATCCGCGGTCGTGGGCCCCCCCACCCCCACCCCGCAGCTGCCTGCTCTTTCTGGATCTTGGGGTCTCCGTAAATCCGAAGGCGCGAGAGGAACCCAGAGCGGCGTCGTATTTCTGTCCTCGTGAGATTGCCTCTCGGGCCATTATTTTGGAAAGTTACTACTGGGCCCCCTTTCAATCTTTGCAGGTGAAAACTGCAGACGCTTCTGTGCGGTGCTTTCGCCGTCTTTTATGAAAATAGGCGCCCAACTGTTCTGATATTACCATTCAAAAACAGGTTCTGTGGAGAACCTCATTTGTGAATCTATTACAGAGATTAATAGATTATTTCTCCTTTTTCAACTAATTCTCTGTGGGGAAATTTAACCATATGGTAAGGAGAGAATTAGAATTTCATCACATTAGAGCAAAATGTAATGAAAAGAGTCCAACACCTGGGGCCAACTCTGAAAGCCACAATTAAAAGGTTTTTAATGAAACCAGAGAAACCAAAAAAAAATTTTTTTTTCATAGATTTGAGTCACTCTGCCACATAAGCGAGATTTATAGGAGGTCTGGAGGAATATTGTTTTTACTGACGTCCTAAGGATGGAAAGCCGCGACTAAGCACCCTCCCAGGCAGCGGGCGCGGGAGCAGAGCACGGCGAGTGCAGCTCGGCTCCCGGCGAGGAGCGCGTGTTCCCCGGCGCTGCCTCCAAGAACAAGCCAGGCCCGTCCAGATGTCCCCGGATGGCTTCTGCGCCGAGGCGGGGACGTTTCCGGGCCAACAAACAGGCACCAGTGCCACCCTTGATGTAGGAGACAGACACGGTTTGACTCCCGTGAGGCTGACTCTTCTGAAACAACTGGATTTCGCAAAGTTTGGGAAATCAGCCTATTCCAGTGGGGGGAAAGGCATGTGTTCAAAATCACCATCACGGTCGTAGTTATTTGGCGATCCCTGGTGGGGGTGGGGGGACGGGGAGAGACACCCCTCCATTCCCCCGCTCCTAAATTTTCTTTTCTTATTTAATGGGCTGCACAATCCACTTGCTTTTAATTTTTTTTTTCAATCAGGGTAGGAAATGGGTACACTGGGGAGTGGGGGAAGGAAGTGGGAGACGCTGTGGAAATAGGCAAATGTGGTTTTTATTTTTTTTGGGGGGGGCGATTATTCTGCTCTGTCACTCTCTGGGAATCTTAGAATCTGGATCCACTTCCGCCCCCACGAAAGTCCCGTGTCCACATTCCAGCCCAGCGTCCCCCTAGGAAGAGGGGTGGAGTGTCACTCTCGCCCGGAAGGGTAATTTAGTAAGAGAAGCGACGGCAGCGGCGAGGGAAGGGCAGTGGGGGGTGGGGTGCGGTGGGTGGGGAGTCGGGGGGCGGGGGGGGGGGGGCGTCTGCTTTCCGCGGGACTCCCGGGCTTCAGCCGCCGATTTACAATTTGCTGAAGGAGCAAAGAACATCCTCGGCTCTAAGTAGGGCTTTTAGTGTGCTCATTGATGAGTGAAAGTCGCCACACATGTCAAGCTAAAGGCAGTTGTTGGGTTACTAACAGGACCCAGCGCCTTGCAAACATATGCGCTAAGCTGTGTATACAGATGGCAGGCAGAATAATGGAGCAGGCGCCTTTTATAAAGCTCTAGCTGCTGCCTGTCTTCAGACCTGGGAAATGAAACTATTCAGACTCGCGGCCAGATAGCGCCAGCGATTGTTTGTTACCGTTTTAATCCTATTAATTAAAACGTTAACCTGATTGGGTAGAAAGCGCTGTCCCAACAGGCGAGTCTTCTTCATAATAACCTACTCAGAGATAATGATGTAAAAGACTCCCCCGTCTGTGGCGGCGGCGGCGGCTGCTGCCGGATGGGTCCGGAAATCTCTCGAAGGTGAAACGGAGCAAGATAAACGGCGCGGAGCGGCGGCGCGGGGCTGAGCTCAGAGCGGCGGCAGCGGGCGCGGCGGCGGCGGCGGCGGCGGCGGCGGCGGCTCCACTCCCGGCGCGCCCACCCTCCCACCATGCGGGGCCGCGGCCCATGGTGAGCCCCGGCGGCCGGCACCATCGGCTGGAGACGAAGAAGACGAAGAAGAGGAGGCGGCGAGCGCGGGGGAAGACGAAAAAGAAAAAGAAGGCGAGAGGGCGGCCCTCTGCTGCTCGGGGACCGACGCGCGCACCGGCCGCCGGAGGAGCCCGGCTCGGGCGCGGGAGCGGCGGCGGCGGCGACGGGGACCATGGAGCGCGGGCTGCATCTGGGCGCGGCGACCGCGGGCGAAGACGACCTGTTCCTGCACAAGAGCCTGAGCGCGTCCACCGCCAAGCGCCTCGAGGCGGCTTTCCGCTCCACGCCCCCGGGCATGGACCTGTCCCTGGCCCCGCCGCCACCGCCACCGCCGCCGCCGCCGCGGGAGCGCCCGGCATCCTCGTCGTCGTCGTCGCCCCTGGGCTGCTTCGAGCCGGCTGACCCCGAGGGGGCAGGGCTGCTCCTGCCACCCCCGGGGGGAGGCGGCGGGGGCGCGGGCGGCGGCGGCGGCGGCGGCGGCGGCGGCGGGGTGGGCATCCCCGGGCTGCTCGTGGGCTCGGCGGGCGTGGGGGGCGACCCGAGCCTCAGCAGCCTGCCCGCCGGGGCCGCCCTGTGCCTCAAGTACGGCGAGAGCGCCGGCCGGGGCTCGGTGGCCGAGAGCAGCGGCGGCGAGCAGAGCCCCGACGACGACAGCGACGGCCGCTGCGAGCTGGTGCTGCGGGCCGGAGGCGCCGACCCCCGGGGCTCCCCGGGCGCGGCGGGCGGCGGCGCCAAGGCGGCCGAGGGCTGCTCCAACGCGCACCTCCACGGCGGTGCGAGCGCCCCCACGGGGGGCCCGGGAGGAGGAGGCGGCGGGGGCAGCAGCGGCGGCGCCGGCGGCGGCGGGGGTGGCAGCAGCAAGAAATCCAAAGAGCAGAAGGCGCTGCGGCTCAACATCAACGCCCGGGAGCGCCGGCGGATGCACGACCTGAACGACGCGCTGGACGAGCTGCGCGCGGTCATCCCCTACGCGCACAGCCCCTCGGTGCGGAAGCTGTCCAAGATCGCCACGCTGCTGCTCGCCAAGAACTACATCCTCATGCAGGCGCAGGCCCTGGAGGAGATGCGGCGCCTCGTCGCCTACCTCAACCAGGGCCAGGCCATCTCGGCCGCCTCCCTGCCCAGCTCGGCGGCGGCGGCGGCGGCGGCGGCCGCCCTGCACCCGGCGCTCGGCGCGTACGAGCAGGCGGCCGGTTACCCGTTCAGTGCCGGGCTGCCCCCCACCGCGTCCTGCCCGGAGAAGTGCGCCCTGTTTAACAGCGTCTCCTCCAGCCTCTGCAAACAGTGCACGGAGAAGCCTTAAACAACTTCCCCCTCCCAGTCATCACCACTACCACCACCATCACCACTACCACCACCACCAAGAAAAGACACCAGATCGACCCCCCCAAACTAGAGGAAAGTGAAAAGCTGCACCCCCCCAACCCACCCCCTTCATTTTGGTTCCTCTCGTAGTTGTGAAACACTTGCAGAACAAACAAAGAGAAGGCGAGAACTAAAGGGGAAGCGTCAGAGACACGAGCGGACTTTTAGCCTTGACAGCCCCGGAATCCCCGGTCTTCAGGGTGGGAAGGGAGGGAGGAGGGAGGTGGAGGAGGGATGGAGCGTGGACGTCTTCTTCTTTTTTTTTTTTTTTCTGTCTCAGAAAAGTGGCAACTTCCGTGGCATCCTAGAGCGTGAGGAAGCAGTTTTTCCTTTAAGGTTGAGAAATAAGTTGAGAAATAGTTGAGAAATAGTCATTTGGTTATTAAGCGTGAAAAGTATGGCAAAGTACTAATCCTACTAATAATTGTGAATTTGGCTAGTGCTGGAGGGCAGAGGAGGAGTCTGGGGGTTGGGGTGGCTCGTGGGACGAATATTCATTCAGACAAATCAGAAAGGGCACTTGAAGATACATTTTAATTCTGAGCCAGGAGAAAAACTTGAATTGTAGACTTATTTAAGTGAAAAACAAGCAGAAAGAGACACGTTGCTATGAAAGACTTGTATTTTTTATTGTCTCTGAACTTTAATCCTGTGAAAATGCTCGAAAGTTTTGGAAAGAGTGATAAGAAAAAAAAACTGACGGTGGCTGAAAGAATTGCATTTAAAAATATTTGTGTGCACCTTGTTACTTTCCACTCTGCAATGATGTATTAACAATCCATGATATTTATTTGTTATTCTTCAATGACCCTTCCACATCAACAGTATTTATCATGTGTTAAGGTCATGGGTCTATGTGCAGATTTTTTTTAAATGCCTCTAAAATTCTGTTGATAGATTAACTTATACTGTGTGCCAACTGTTTAAAAGGTTTATTTGCCAACAAGTATGAAGAGACATACTGATGTATCTGAGCTGCTTAGGTTTATAAAAAGGTCACCTGGATATTTTCAGTTGCATCATCCCTGTATTTAAATTGAGCTTTAATAAATTGCTTCAGTCCAAAAATTACAGGAAAGGTGTATTCTTAATTGACGAATGAATTGATCTCTTTTTTGAAAGGGGACTCCTTTACATTCCAAAAGGGAAAGACATCAGAGCAATAGATCCTCTAAGTAAGAACATGCTAAGCAAATATTTTTCCCTTCTGTGCTTTTTTTTTAAAGTTCTAATTTAATATATATGTACATATCTAAGTTATTTTAACTGTGGAGAATTATTTAAGTTGAAAGACTGGTTTGATTTGCCTATGGTGTGAAATCCTTTGTTATTTTTCTAGAAAAAAATAAAATTTAAAAAGAAATAAAGCTAAGGAAGAGCAAGAAGCTATTTATCCAAAGTAAGCTTTCAGTTTTAGCTTGCATGGCTGTTTGCCTGCCTTTCTATCCTATGAAAATCAAGAAAGTCTTTTTTAAAAAATGGAGTCCTGCTATTTTCCACTCCTTGCAGATAATACAAATTCAGTTTGTCAGGTTGGATGGTGAGTTGGGAGCTGTGATGGATCTATTGGCGGGTTTTGGATGTGTAAACAATGATATATATATTAAATAGGTCAATCAGACTATGACAGCTATGTACGACCATTTGTATGTGTATCTATGTCAGAAAGAATATTTATTAAAATATTTTGATCAAACATTTTATTATACTGTGCTTTGTGGAAGGAGCAAAATCACCTCTCTTCTGTGTTACTCTTTGCTTGAAAGGTAACCAAAAAAGGAGTTTCAGAGAGGGTGAAACTAAAGTTTTGACAGGGATACACAATTAGGAGCAACCCTTGGTCACTTGTTTACTTGACAGGAGGATGCTGGCTGGGCCTGGTCATTACAAGAGAGAAAAATGGGGTCAGTGGTGAGACATCCAGGAGGTCTGGAGTTTCTGTGATGACAGGAACTCTGAAGGCCAGGTTCTCTCCCTGGGACTCTTTCCCTCTTGTATGGTGTTGTTAACTATTCAAGGGCCATCAGAAAAGGATAAAGTTTCTGGAAAAAGTTTTATCAAATTTCTCTTTCAAACAGTCTGAAAAACAGGGAAAAGAGGAGGATTTGGACTAGCGGAAGATAGATTTTGTTGTAACTTCACACTTGTGTGATAGAGGTATCAACCAGTTTGAATTACGAGTATAAATAATGCCCATAGGTATGTTTAAAACTTACCAGTATTGCTTGCAGTGAGTTTTAGGCGCTGTCCTTGGCCTGGGTTGGGCACTGGCTCTTTGGGGAAAAAAAAAAAGTCTATCCGTTTGTATTTGGGCCTTCTTGATCTTAGGTATAGAAGGTTTGGTTTTCTTTAGAATGGAGGTTATGGGGGTCGTGTTGGTGGTGAGAAAGTTACAGTGTTTTCTCTGTAGGCAGGATGCTAAATGCATTTTTGTCTGCAAAGCCTTAGCTCATAATGATATCCCTAAATGCCATCAAACTTAGTGGGGGGCAAGGGAGGATATTTTCTGCTCCACTTGCCATCAAAAAAGATTAATCAGAACCTGTAACTTTTCAGAAAACATAATGGCAAAGGGCCTTCATGTGGAGCACTCCCAGTCTGGGAGTGGGGCTAGAGGGAGGGAAGAGACCAGGGCAGGCCCCAGGCAGGACTAGATCCGTCTCTCAGCATTTACCAGACAAAGCCTGGGTGCGTCTAATTATGATTATTAAAACAATTTCCATGACGATGTCTAATATTATGTTAATTTGAAAACAACTGTGTATGAAAACTGTCGACTATAATACCTAAATTCATTTAATGAAACACATCGTTAAGGCAATTAAACCTCCTGGATGTGATTAAGAAACATAATTACGACACTGTTCTGCGCCATAATTGGGTGTCTTTAATCAAGGGGTAAAGTGATCAGCAACACAGCCATTAGTTTGTATTGTTCTGGCCATGCTGTCCATCATTCTGATTAGGAATTAACCACAGCCACCATCAGTCGATTTTTTTCCCCTTTTTGCATATTAACATTGTAGGGGACACATTTGCTACAAGATTTACTGCTAAATGTTTCTCAGGATTAAGAATGCCTCCTTAAAATACTTTCTCTGCAACCTCTATATGATCTAATAATTATTATAAACTGTACGAATAACAAAATCTTGAGCTTTAGAAGAAAATACATATCATCTTTTATCTTTAATTATTCAATTTCCTGAAAGAGAATTGAAATAGATAGGGGTGGGAGAGAAAGGCAGAAATGCTGAGAACAAGTTGAGATGCAGGACCTCTGTGCGAATATTAAAAGCAGTTAATGTTTATTTTTATTTTAAAAATTACAGACAAGTCAATTATCTTCCAAATCCAGGAATTGATCAGCATTTGCTTCTTGGAATACACCTATGGCTGAAAGGTATGGGAGAGGTGGATTTAGCAATCACTTGGGTGGCCCTTGGTGCTGTAAGTCAAACCCTGACAGAATTCTTTTCCACAATAGCCTTTGGAAAAAGAGAGACATTGGGATGGAAAGATAGTTCTTTCTCTACCCAGCAGCCCTCAGACAGCTTTATTTCAAAGGTTTGAGTCCTGAATTTCAGCTTAGTCAGGAAAGTTGGCCCTCAAGCTCATAGGTCCCAGATGTTCCTGCAATATGGAGCATTAAGAGACTCAACATCAGGAGGATGAATGTGGTCCTGCTGTGTAGTACCATGGGCCAGGCCAGGTGTTCTGCACAACATGCATGAGTACTTTGGTGCACCCCAGAGCTAGATCCGAAGCCTCCCCCTCCTCCTCCCCAGCCTTGGAGGAGTTTCTTCCCAGTGCACCTCATTATTTGTGTTTTACAGCGAGCCAGTAGGTAGGAGCGGCCAGCCCCACCTCCTACCTTTTCCATCCAACTTCTGATTCCAATTTCTTTCTCTATTAGCTACTTCTCTCTTAGTTTTCAAGTCCAGTTTTGACACAGGATATCGACAGACGCGTCAGGTGGGAAGTTTACCGGACTCTTACACGACCAGCAAGCAAAATATCATCTTCGAGGAACATGCTAGTTCCCTACTCCTCCTTCCTCAAAAGTGTGCGTGCGCGCCTGTGTGTCCTCTTTCTCTCGCGCGCGCACGCGTTCTGCAGGGCGCTCCCCACTCTGGAGCTGAGCGACCCCTCCAAGACCTGAGTTGATCTTAAATTCCTCTACCTCCTCTGGTGGCGTCCCCAGTACCGGTTATTCCTCCCAACAGCTCACTAGGTAGGGCAGCTGCTCACCAGGCTTCGATTCTTCACGCACTCGTGGGCTGCACGTTGGAACCGAACTTTTTATTTTTTTTTTTGCGCGTCCCTCACCCCGAAAGTGCTCCAGCATGAGTGGCGCTGACTTTTCCAATGTAATGACTTATGAAAGATAGGATCATGTGTTAAATTGAATCCTCCGTTTAACTGTTAATGGTGTGCTCTGGGCGCATTTGCGTATTAGATGCTATGGTAACTAATTACCAGTTGGAAAAAGGCTACTACACTTCCCAGACTTTGAAAAATAATGATGAGAGTTCACTTCCCGGCTTGGAGCACATCGTGGCGGCTGGAGCGGGTGGAGACTGCAAGTGAGCGCTGGGGAGGCTGGGGGGATTCAATCCCCTTCCGGCGAGGCTCTTCCGTAAAAACCTTTGATGGAAATGTGATTCAGATGGAGAAGGGGTGGGGGTGGGGGTTAAAGGGTGGGAGGAGGAGGGCAAGCTCCTCCGCACATTGGTGCCTCTAAGCAAAATTAAATGGCAAAACACAAATATCGGGAACATAAATAAGTTTTCTTTTAATTAAAATGCAGGTCGGACTAAATTATCCGCCTGCCAAGCAACTTTACATCAATTATCATTTTCTGTGGTGTGGGCAAAATGAATGAGTCCGTCTCCTGCGCGCTTCGCGTTGGCACTTACAACTCTGTTGCCCCTCGACTTGCCAAGCCAATGAGCTGCCGGTTGATTTAAACTTGGTCTTTTAAAATTAGACAGTTCAGCACAGTAGATGGAAGGGGAACGGCAGAAGGGCAAACAGAGAGTAACAAGTTTAAGAGTAAAAACGACTCCGTTTTTTCCCCCCTCCCCTCTGGATCTCTGATTCTCCTGAGCTACTGATGATTGTTTAGTAGAACTGGAATTCTAAAGTTTGTGCAAAACAACCAGGGGTCTGTCCGGGCTCCAAAGGCTAGGGCAGGT